GGCCGGCGGTTGGCGCGCGTTTTGGCGCGAGGCGTCTGAGGAAGGAAGTGGAGGCGCGGGCGGGGCTCCGCGGGCAGCGCGCTGAGGGGCTCTGGGCGCGTGCAGAGCGCCTTCGCTCAGGGACAGCGGGGGCGATGAGCCCCCCGCTGCTCTGCCCGCATCAAGTATGCAGCTGCTCTAAGTGCCCACCCGAGCCCTTCCCGCTGGGAGCGCAGCAGCGCCCCTGCTGCCCAGCCCGCTGGGGACCCCACGTTTAGGCTCTCAGGCACCCACCTTTTTTGACACGGCTGGCCTGCGTCAAAGCACCTGTGACCCCTCTGCCTGCCCCATTAACCATGGTTTGGCCTGACGACGGTGCTCAGGCTGTTGCCGCAGGCGAGGCCGTGGTGGGCGCGACTCCCATGGGACCAGCTCCCTAGGGGCAGGTGAGGGGCCCCGGGGCACTCAGGCCCAGGACGGCATCTCCCTCTCTGCTGCCAGCAGGAAGGACAAGAGCCCACGGCCGGGCCGGCTGCAGGCAGGAGTTCACCCGGGACACACTTGAGAGGTGCTACAAACACACGAGGCCGATCTGAAGCTTGCATCTTTTTTATTCGGAAACACTGGCCTGACATGATTCAACAAGGTCTTATACAAACCTGGGACCACATAAAGAACAGCTTACCCTTAAACGGATGTGTGGAAAAAAGCCAAAACTGCCTCAGCCAACAACCAAAATTTCAGCTTAAAATCGCTTCCCCCAGCTTTTGCATCCCGATTTGCTGGGACTCTGCTTGCAGAAGCTGGGAGTTCAGGAAGCTGGTCCCCAAAATTTGGGGCAGTGCTGAGTTGGGGAAGGCTGACTTAAAAGCTCACTGTGGTTACATTTGCAAGGAAAACGGAGTATGAAGACTTCCAGGCTCTGAGACAAAATCTGCACGTTTTACAAATAGCTAAAATCCTTAACTTACAGACCTTGTTACAATATGTGGTGACCATCAGTTTTCGATAACCTTGAAAACACCAAGAAAAATAACTCCTAATAAAAACGGACAAATTAGCACATTTGATTCCTTAAGACTTAGCCACAGTGAAATCATAAATTACAGGGAACTTCTTACTACTGCACTCCATTTATGGGGAAAAGAGATGACCCTCCATTGCAACATTTATTTAACAATCTTCCCAAGAAAACAGCAGGCTTATTAACCTTTTCCCATATCCAATGTGGCCCTCAGTGTTTATGCTATAAGTTAAAAGTGATTGAGTTCACGCTCACACTCTTAAAAGTTACAGTCCATAATTCCACCCCACACAATCTTTAGACATCCCTCCCCGTTTGCTCAAGGCCTCCTCACCTACACTGTAATTCTTACGAAACACCAAGTTAAACAAGACTCTTTGCACAAAAGTGACTGATATTTACAAGGGCACCTCTAGATAAGCTGAGTGATTTTCTTATCAGGAGCAATACTTGCAATTTTATATAGATTTGCGGGGGGGGGGACACAGCTGGCCAACCTAATCTCCCACCTGACAATTCAGCTGGAGGCGAAGTCTCGTGTTCACGCAGAACAGCAAGCGCAGGCTGACCTCTGACTGAATCGTAAGAACTAAATCCAAGACTGATGCTCACCCAGGTTTCCAACCATGTTCCCAAGATGCTCGTAGCAGAGTGGGCAAAGCGAAGAGGAACTCTTCTGCCCCTTCCTTCTTCCTCGAAACTCTGAGAAATTAGTCCCACGAGCCACTTAACAGACTATCTTAGTGGCACAGGAGGGGCAAAGCGATGCCCAAGGCTTGATGCTGAAAAGGCCCTGCTTGTTGAAGGGAGCTGTGCGCACCCCAAGTTGAACCTCACTATGTAAACAAACACCCCGGGTAAAAACAAGCAGAAGACTAAGTATGCCAGATTTCCTTGCACGAACAAGTGTTCTACCAGATGTGCAACGCTGACACCGGACATCTGTGGAAGGAGAAAAAGTGCTCCATGCAAAGGCTCACCCAATGAACTACAATATTGCACCACAAGAACACATAGTGTTCACCCAGTCTGTGGCTTCGCCGCAACATTTTCCTTTGGTTCGCTAGAGACCCCCCACCCCACCCCTGGAGAGACAAACCCTGAGGTTGGTAGGTTCATTTCGGGAAGATGTACATGGGGGTCAAACAGCCAGGGAGGGTCTTCCGGACACTTCCGACCAGCACAAAAAGAGTCCAAAGTGCAGAGGAGGATCCTGGCTTGGGGGAGGGCAAGAGAAAACGACGGCCAAGGACAGGAAGCCGCCTTTATTTGAAAACCTCATCTATCAAGGAAGAGATGATGCACCTCATCTGAGAAAAGAATCCTGTGAAGACGCCGGACTTCTAATAGAGGCAGGCTGAGATAAGGCCATCCCCGTTCAGAAGTTATTGGTGTTTGATGCTTCTGAGTAGAGTTGCTGTATCTGGTCTTGGTACATCTTGACTACTACTGGCCTCTTCAGCTTCATTGTTGGGCCTAGGAGGCAGACACAGATGGTCATGTTAGTGCCTAAGCCCTCCCCCAATTTAGTTCCCCTGCCCTCCATCCCCCCTCCCACCCTGTTACTACCCCCTCCCAGGGGGTGCTGCTAACAGAAAGAGACAACTCTTTCTGAAAACATGGAAAGCCGAGATCCAAGGGGGACTATTTGCTCCCTTCTTAGTGCAATGGGGAAGGGGCTATCAGTCCCTATCCCCAGACAGATGCAGTCTGCGCAGCTGGCAGTCCTGAGCTAGGAGCCCCGTTGGGTTGTCACAACAGACAGCTACTTCCAACTGTTCCCATGAAAAACTGTGAACAAACCACTGGAGGTAAGATTCTGCCCTGGAGCAATGCACCACTGCACTTGGAAAGGTGGACGGGCTGGCCCTCTTCCAATTCAGAGGACGAAAGGCATTTAAACCACCCCAGGGATCTCCACGCCGTTCTCCTTTTGGGACTTCACAAGCCCCTTTTAGAGAGCATTGGCTAGGAACTCATCTTTCTAAGTGAAAGCTGGGAGCTGTGCTGAACTCCACAGATCCTGCATACTGCCCCCCCCATCCCTGCAACTCTACACCTCGCGTCATTTGACCCCCCAGCAGTCTTTGGCCACTGACCACATGGAAGTGGGCAGCCACGCCAGCCTCTCACCTAGCTCTCCTCCCTGGATGGAAAAGTCCTTGTCCAAGAGGACCCATTTCTGGATTTTCTGTGCATTGGAGGTGGCATGCTCGTTGACTTTCAAGACCCCCTTCTGGATGGCGGTATACACAGCCACGTCTTTGTTCCCCACAATGTCAGAGACTTTAGTGGATTTGCTGCCCAGTTTTTGGCAGAACTCAATGGCTTCTGGCGTCAGCTCATCCTCCGACAGCCCCGTTTCTAAGTTCACCTTGCTCTAGAAAAAGAGAAGAGTGTTGGGGCAGCCATAGAAATGGTTGCACTGCCACCCTTTGGCAGTGGTGGTGGCTGGCACCACCTTGGTGTTTGCCCAGAAAGGGGTAGCTGAGGGGGCGTGCAGGCACCCACCCACTCAAGCAATGTGGATTATGGGATAGACTTTGCAGTTCAAGGCAGAGGCCAGAAACATTGGCCCCTTGGAGACTGAGCCCCCTCTAAGTCCTCTGCAACCCACTGGTTTAGACCCTCAGCAGGAGCAATTCGGTTCTCTCCCAACAGCTCACTGGTGGAGCATAGACGAGGGCAAAAGTGGGGAGGACTTTCTCCCTCCCCACTCAACCCCCAGCATGGGATCAGCCCCATGCTAAGCTAAGCAATTCCTTTGGAGCATTTATAAAAGAGCGGACAAGCATTAGGAGACTGGATCTTCTGTAGAAGGACAGGATTCTGCAAAGCTGAAGAGGAGAGACGTCCTCTTTGGAGCTTTCAATTAAAGATCCTAGTCCACAAGCTTTCAACTATCACTATACTTGAAGGTTTCTGAAGGTGAGCTTGTTTTGCCTGGGACTGACATCCTCGACAACGCCTTCCCCCAAGGGGTGACTTCCAGGTGCATTAGAATCTGGAAAACACATCTGGGAAGCCCAGTTTGGATCGATGGGGGTCAGAATGGCAGTGGATCGGTTCCTGGGGCCTGTCTCCCCACCCCCGGGCCCCAGTGCCTAGGGAAGGCAGGCACTCACCTTAATGGTCATCAGCATGACGAGGTACTTGGCTTTGTCTCCCACCAACATGACGTTGCTAAGAATGGGGACTGCCTCTTTGATAGCATCTTCGATCGGGATTGGAGGAATATTCTCTCCCCCCGCGGTGATGATTAGCTCTGGAACAGAGGTGGGGAAGCCCGGTCCATCAGACCCTCAGAAAACTGACTTGGTTCACACTGTAGTCTGTGCCGTGGTGGATGGGATAAACAGCAGCTAGTTTGCAGCACAAACCAATATTCCCTGGTTTACCAACCATAAGCTCTGGGGAGTTAGAGAGCTCAGGGAAGACCAGGCATTGAGTGGACCGAGTTAAATCAGACCCAACGCTGGGGTGGAGCAGGATATTATGGTGAATGCAGGTTGCCATTCGTTGTGTTTTTGGGTATGTGGGGCAAGGAGCTTCCTCCCCTTGGCCTTGGGCCACTTTCCCCCTGGATCATTGGGCTGACAAGACATACATCAGCAATTGTGACTTTCCCAGTAAGGAAAAGCTTAATTTTTAGAAGGAAAGTGAACAAGTTTTCCAAAAGTTATGGGGTAAAAAGCAAAACAAATCCCTGCCCGGGGAAACACAAGGATGTCCAGAAGCAAATCTCCGCACTTTGTGAAGCTGTGATTTGTGAAGTTGGCTCCAAGTTTACTACAGGCATGGAGGGGAGGCAATCTTCCCCTCTAGGTTGGTCATCCTGGCGAGGAGTTTTGGGAGTTGTCATCGCACCATAGTCTAGAAACACCAGTTTGGAGGGGCTGCACCGATTGCAAACTCCAGCTCTCGACCACTATTTTCTGCTTTTGGGGTCAGAAATTGCCATCTCTCATGCAGCCTCCTCCCATTTCCGTTGTGATGCAGCAACCCTGCACCCACAGTCCCAGCAGGGGAGCCTTCCACACTTCCTCTCCTCAACAGACAGTACAGAACACGCACCATTTCCCATCTAGAGAGATGCTGCCAGCCCGTGTAAGGGATGAGTTGGGGCCTTTGAGGTCCTCCAATCCAACTCCCTGCCACTGCATCCCTGATCTAGCTTCTGTTTAAGCCCTTCCAACAGAGGAGGGTCTGCCATCTCTGGAGGCAGCTGTTCCATTGCTGCACAGGCCGTTCAGGTAGTCCTCACATACCAACTGCAACTGGGACCGCAACTCTGTTAAGTGAACTGTCACATGACCATGCCGGACTTACGACACTAGTTCTGCTGCGGTTGTTAAGCAAACGACCATCGGTCATTAAGTGAGACACATGACTGCAACTTGCAACTTCCTGCCAGCTTCCCCATTGACTTTGCTTGTGAAGTGTGCAAATAGCAATCACGTGACCATGGGATGCTGTGATTGTCGTAAAAGTACCTAGTTCAAACTAAACACGAAGCTGCAAAACTCTTAACTGGACTACATTCTGCTGAGATGTTCTGCCCACGGATCAGGCCCAGCCTGGCCCACACTTTGTATCGTGACCCGGGGGCTGGATTACCTTTGATCCTCCCCGTGATGTAGAGGAAGCCATCCTCGTCGTATCGACCCAGATCTCCGGAATGGAGCCAGCCCTCGGCATCGATTGCCTCTTTCGTCTTGTCATCCATGTTCAGGTAGCCCATGAAGATATGGCGCCCGCCGAAGCAGACCTCGCCGACTCCGTCGTGGTCAGGCTTGAAAAGCATGGTCTTGCAGCCTGTGATCTCCCTGCCACAGCTGGGGGGAAGGGGGCAAGCAAGGGATCAAGGGCTGGCCGAGCGTCCTCCACAGAGAGATTACCCACTGCGGGGAAGCACAGCAGAGTCTCCACGCCCACAACGTGGAGTGTTATAAAATAAAACCTAAGAGCAATTTCTATTAAAGCGTGAGGCCCCTGTGGGAGAGTTTAACAAAATAAAACAGAATACAATGAATCCTGATTTAACAGTCTCCAGTTTAGCAAAGTTTGGGTGCAACAGACAATCTGTCTGTACACTGTCTGCTTTAACAGGCATTCCTTCCCCATTAGTCCATTAAACCAAGAGCTTACTAACCATACTGAAGTCTACAACCTTGTCCCCCAGTAAGAAATATTTCCCCTATGAACGTCCTATTAGTCAGCACTTGCTCTGCCTTTATTTCAGAGGTTTCCCCCCACCCACCATTTCAGCTTATTCACTCTCCCAAACAGTCAAGTGTAAGATTCCCATTTTTCACAGCTTGCCAACACCACGCTGAAAATCTAGACTTTCCGAGCACAGCAAAAGGAAACCCTGCCCCAACGGGCTGGAATTCTCCCTCGACAGTGGGAAATTCTGTGACTCGTCGGTCTGAGCACACACGAATCTGCTCCATCCTGGGAAATTTAAATTTACCACTGGCTACACGGGAGGTCAGTTAAATCAAGGCACTGAGAGGTCTCCCAAATAAGAAAAGCTTTCAAGTCCCCTTTCTCCCCAGGCATAAGACAAATACATATTCCGTGCACATTGAGTTTTAACCCTCCACGCCCCTACCTTGTCATCCTGTATGACTCTGGATGAGAAACAGTATGAGGACCGGAGCTTTCGCTCATGCCGTAAAGCTCGTAGACCACAATGTCCAGGCTGAGAAAGTATTCCAAGGTGTCCTTTGTGATTGGGGCTGCCCCTGTGTAGCATTTGTTGCAGCGGTCCAGGCCCAGGGCTTTCCGGATTTTTGTATAAATGAGTGCCTTGGCCAGCCGGTAGCTCATCGGGAGTTCGGTGCACCTGCGGGAAAAGCTGCATGAGGGTGGAAGGAACCACATCTCTCGGGCGAGACCCTCCTAGGGCCTGGGAAGACGTCCAGCCGCTTGGCAGGGGGACGGTCAAGTCACGACCAGAGGGCTGGCCGGATCCCAGAAAGCCAGAGGTTCAAACTTGAGCGGGCACAGGGAAACGAAGGAAGGGGCAGGAAAATTCTGCCAGTCTGCCCAGGCGGGCCACTGCAAAGCTAGGGACCCCAGAACCCAGATTGCAAGGATTTTTGGTTATTATTTAGAAGACTTTATACATAATAAAATGTATTTCGGTATTGGTCAGGTTTATACCCCACCACCACCATCATAAAGAGGTTCTCGGTGGCTCGCAATAACAAAAAACATTAAAAAACCCTGAAAATATATAGGGAAATACATTAACAAGCCAAAAATGTAATACCAGGTATCCTGTTGAAAACTCTCCATAGTTTAGAGGAAAAAAATAAAACCAAGCGAAAGGGGAACTTCACGAGCTTGAAAGTGGTTCACTTAGGCCAGTGTTTCTCAAACTTGGCAACTTTAAGGCAGGTGGACTTTAACTCCCAGAATTCCCCAGCCAGCATGCTGGCTAGGGAATTCTGGGAGTTGAAGTCCAGGCCCCTTAAAGTTGCTAACGTTGAGAAACACTGGTATAAAAGCATTCTTATGTGGTTCTTTTTAAAAAAAGAAAAAGAAGTTCCCTTCCTAATAATTCAATTTCTCGGCATGGGTTTCTTATTTTTATTTTTAACACAACTGCTAGAGAGCGAGTGGACATTTTGATCATGTTACAAGTCTTAGTGATACCATCTTAGCGATACCATACAACATACCTCAGCAAGGTAAGAGAAAGGGTTGTTTGTATTTGCCAAAGAGATAAATACAAGTTTGGAGCAACTACTTTGTACTCCCGGTGAGGCAAATAACGCTTTGTGTTATCTCAAGCTTGGAACAAAACAGAGCATTTTAAGCCACAGATTCAAAGCCCATTGTTGATTTTTCATTCTAGGGCCACAAAAATAGCCCGACATTACCCACCACCCAACATACAGAATAGTGGCCAAGGGGATGATTTAATTTTCCTTTTTACACAACTCCCATAATCAATAAAGGAAGCAACCGATCAAAACACCCTTTGTGGTCTGCCCGTACGACATTCAGAATTGTGGCATTGGGTTTTTAAAAAAAATCATAAAAAGGAGGCAAGGAAATCGGGGGCTGCTGCCTTGCCCTGTAGGCGTGGGGTGGAGAGCAGGCAGCCAAGGGCTAATTCCCACGATGCGGATGAGAAAGCCATTCGGCGATCCATCAAGTGGGTATCAAGAGAGAGAAAATATTAAGCCCCATCTGCGCCTATGGTTTCCAGACCCTTGGACAAGAAAAGCAGCGGTCAGCCAGCAGAGAGACCTCCTGGCCAAGACAGAGGACGCACAGGCAGTCCGCCACAGGTCCTGGGAGGATGCGGGCAAGAAACCTGAACGCGGCAGCCCATGGCGAGGTTACAGGGGCAAATTCATGCTTTGCCCGTAAGGTCAGCCTCGTCCTGGTGCTTTTGAACCTTTCAAGCAGTGGCAGGCCTCCTCTTTTGAACCAAGCTGCCCAGTGACCACCTGCTCTGCCAGGGTGTAGCCACTGTGCCCAGGGAAGCTACTGGTGTGGTGGTCTAAGGCGCAGGAGAGCTGCAGGGTTACGGGCGGTCTTGGAAGGTTTAAGCCAACACTTCTTCAACTTACTAGCCCCCCAGTCAGCTTAATTTCGGGGTGCTTTGAGGGGGGCAACAAGTGTACAAAGCTTAAGACCCCTTCGCCCCATTTTCTGTACCTACTGAAAATCAATCCCAATATTGCAGCCTCATCCCTTGGCGGGGGGGCTTTACACCCCCAGACGTAAAACAGGGACTCCAACTCAGCCGCCGGCATCATCCAGCGAGCGCAGGGCACAGGCCTGCAGATCTGCGTTGGTGCCCGCCCCAGCCTCATACCCGTTCATGCGCTTCAGGTTTGTCTCCAGCCCGACCGCCTTGGCCCAGAAGGCGATCTTCTTCTTCAGTGTGGAGGACTTGGCCCCGACGGATTTCATCCGCTCCTGCATCTTCTCCCACACGCGGGGGACGCCCATGAAAGCTGTGGGTCTCACTTCCCGGAGGGTGTCCACCAGGCTGCCCTGCAAGACCAAGACAAGGGGGGCTGTTGGGGAGATGACTGGAGCTCTTGCAGGGGACCAGGTTCAGCAGGAGGGGGGCAGAACAACGGGGCCCTTGAAGAAATCCCTTCCCATGCGGTTCTGGCCCCCTTCCCTTTGGAACGTTGCTCGCAGAGCTGGAAAAGGTGCAAAAAAGATCTGCCCGAATGATTATGAGGCTAGAACACCCCCTAGGAAGAGAGACAGGAGTGTCCAGGGCTTATAGCTTGGAGCAAAGGCAGGCACCTGTTTATGTATTTAGTTAGGCCTCTGCTTTGCTCTAATAGTGCTTCGGAAAATAAAGTATTTGCTTTCAAATGTAGGTTTTGCAGCAGCAGCACCTGACTGACCTCAGCAGACTAGCTAAATAGAGACAAACGTCACTAGCATTTGGATAAGAGACCACCAGGAAATACTACAACCATAGCCTCACAGCTAGGAAGCTGAAAACATACTGTGGAAAAACCACTTCCGTATCATTGCCAAAAAGTTACAGGTAGTCCTTGCTTAGTGACCACAATTGGGACCAGCAACTCTGTTGTTAAGTGACGCAGCTGCTAAGCAAAACACTGTGTGACTGTGACAGACTTATGTCACTTCCCATTTGGTCGCTAAGCAAGACATCATGTGGCCACAACTTGTGATCTTACTGCCGGCTTCCCCATTGACTCTGCTTGTCAGAAGACGGCTGTGAAGGTTGCAAATGGCAATCATATGATTGAAGGATGCTGCAACAGTTATAAGTGCGAGGACTGGTCATAAAGTTACTTTTCCAGTGCTGTTGTAACTTCAAATGGTCACTAAACAGGGCAGTCGTTAAGTGAGGTCTACCTGTGCTAAGGAATCAAGCCGGACTCAAGGGAAATTTTGCTTTCCCCATTAAGTGACAGCACCTTGCCAACCCTCAGGCTTAGTACTTGAGTGGGACGCCACCAGGAAATCCCACCACTGAACATATTCATGGGGGTTTCCTAGGAGCTGAGCTCAAGTAAAGGCAGTATTTACTTTTCTTTTGTCCCAACCCTAACTCATTGTCTAGCCTACCTCGCAGGACTGCTGTTGTGGGGAGTATATCAAAGGACAACCTCGCAAAAGCCACCTTGATCCCCAAAAGCAGTGTTTCTCAACCTTGGCCACTTGAAGACGTGTGGACTTCAACTCCCAGAATTCCCTAGCTAGCCTTAAAGTGGCCAAGGTTGAGAAACACTGCCCTAAAGGAAAAGCAGGACATATAAACTTACCTTGAGAGCATCGGGGTCAGCGAAGAATGTTTGCACGCCAAAGGTGATGGGCAGCCAGATGTCGATCATCTGCGCGGCAATGTGGCTCAGCGGAAGGTAGCTGACCACGCTCTCCTGGTCCTCCAAGGCCGTCTTCAGGCCCACGTACTCCCCGGAAGCCCTGGCCGTCCATGTGATCTGGAACACAAAGGTGGCTTTGCAGAGGAATGCCTGGCCCCCGCAGCATCGCAGGGTGCTAAGGCTGGCAGAGGAAAGATGGGCCACCTTCGGCTATTACGGCCCCAAAAGGAAAAACAGGAAGCCCGTGGCCGCAGTCAGCCTGGGTGTCCACAAGGGCTTCCCGATCTAAAAACGGAAGGATGGAAGAGAAAGCTAGAAAGGAGAACAACTCTTCCTTTGCTTCAGTAAAGATCAGAAGCTGCTATTTAAACTCCGTCAGAGTTAATCAGAGAAGGAAGGGGGGTGTCTTAAAATGGTTACGGTTTATTTCAGGTTCATTCAGGCACTAATTCAAATATTAAATGCACCATACAGATTGGTCTGCAAAAGGCAGGAAACGCGTAAAGACATTCCCATCCCACTCGTTCACTCCTGCAAACCTGCCTTAGAATCTCTCTGGGGAAAAACAAGATGTAGGTGGGTCTGCTTTTTCAGCGCCAAACATTTTTGAGTTACTACCCCTAGTAAATTGTAATTCTGACCATCTGTTGTTAAGTATTCTCCTTTATCGTAACTCTCCACCATGTTATCTGCTCACGTGCGTTCAGTCACATTCTTTGGCAATGCCGTCGTTCCCACGATGCGCGCCAAGGTTGTGAGTTGCAACCGGGCCTAACACAACTGTTTATTCTGCAAAGGGGGGGGTCTCTCAGCAGCCACCCCCCCTTCTTTGTCACCTCCTTAATCTTGGTAACTTGCTAAATCCCAGAACAGCTAACTACACCAATGTGATTTTTGCCACGAAATGGAGAAGCAGGATCCCCCCAGTTAACACTTGGAGAGGAAGCCACTGGGACCCCCCCCCCCCCCCCCCAAGCGGGGGGGCAAGAAGAAGCAACAGAAGAAGATCCTTTTTTTCCAAGCGGCCAAGAAAACCGCCCGGGCGTATCGGTGGAAGGCCAGGAGCTGAGGTTGATTTGCACACCTTTCACCAACATCAAGAAAGGAACGTGCATGAAGAAATCACAAATCGTTCCCCCGAGGGTGAAAGTTGCAGGGCAGCTCTCCTGAGAGCAAGGGAGAGCAAGGGTGGCTGCCCCGCAGAACTTCTGCCTGCCTCTTGCTATGGAGCAATATTCTACCTGAGCTCTCCTTCTCCGGACTGTCTGGGGCAGGGCGTTCCAGGAAAATAACTATCTGGCTGCATCTGGCTGGGGGGTGGAGAACGCTTCTAGCTCCCCCCGGCTGTGGCCCAGGCGGGGCCCTCCTTCCCTCCAGGGGGGGTGCATTCCCTCCAGCCAGGGAAGGCCACTTGTGGCCCGGCTGCTCCTCCTCGGACGAAGAAGGGGCCATACTGGAAGGGCCTGGCAGGGGTCCGGACGGGCGGGCACTTACGTTGTCGTGGCTGAGCATCACTCCCTTGGGGTTGCCCGTCGTCCCTGAAGTGTAGATGATGGTGCAGCACTGGTTGGCCTTCAGGCTGGCAAGGATCTTATCCAGCTGCTCATCCGGGACGGAGCTGCCCAGGGCCATGAACTCGTCCCACTGCCCAGAAGGAAAAGCCCCCGCAGCCCAGGTGAGAAGAGGCAGCCAGGCAGCCGCGCCCACGTACAGGCACCGCCCGCCCACACCCTGGTCATCAGAAGGCGCATGGCGCGAGGTCTTTAAAAGAGGGGCTGGCCTTTCCCCCATCCCAGTCAAGGGGCATCATATCCCCACCCCCGTCCCGAGGCAGAACCTTTCACAAACGCTTTGCCCGCAAGTAGAATAAATCTGGTTAAGGTAACGAGCAACGTATGGCCCCTTGCGGGACGCTACTGTTCGGCAACCAAAGCCCTTTGCCCAGCGGCAGGGCGGCCTGAGAGGTCCATTCAGAGGTACCAGCTACTGCTGGGTCACAAGGCTCCCTGCGTGACCCCGGTCCAGTTCCCATCTCTGCATGTAACGCTCCCTCGCAGGGAGAAACCGAGGCAGCCAGGCCAGAGAGCCGGTTCTTGGAAAGCATCTGGTCCTGGGGGTTGGGCGTGGGACGAGCCCTAAAAGGAACTGAAGACACTCACGCTGTAGAGATTCGGCCTCTTCTCTTTGATCTCCCCACTGTACTGGATGATGGCTTTCAGGAGAGGCAACTTCTTCTCTATCTGGAGGGGAAACGAGGGAAGCCTCAGACAACCCTGTTCACTGGGATCCTCAACGATGCCTGAAAAAACACCAGCTCCCTCCAGGGAGCTACTTTGGGGGCTCCAAAGCCCCACCGCGTCTCACCCGTCTCGAGGAAATAGAAATGCCATCTCAGAGCTCACCCCTGCAACGGAGTTTGAAGTTCAGCCCTGCGAGGGAGAAGCCAAACCTTTTGGGGCACTAGGATCTAGGCCGTGGCCCCGAACAGCCCCTGCCAATTCCTTTGCTGGTCTTTTGGAGCTGTTTTGGGGAATCTTCCCCGACGAGATCGGATGTTCCCATCTTTTTACAGGTCATCCTCATTTAGTGACCACAATCAGGACCAGCAACTTGGACGTTAAGCGAAGTGGTTGCTAAGTGAAACCGCCCCTGCACTTACGATTGGACTTCAGCTTCTCTTTGCTTTACGGACCTGCAAAGGTCGTAAATGCAAGGACTGGTTGTAAAGTTACTTTTTCATCACCGTCTTAACTGCAAATGGTAGCTAAATGAGGCAGTTGCTAAACGAGAACCACCTGTATTCTCTTTGAATGGTTGCTGTTGTGTTTTTATTTAGCTTCGGATGTCTTTTATATTGGATTTTTTTTATAAGGTAAGCTGCTGAGTGTTGTTCTACTGTGGCAGCACAGAAATAAATACATTTAATAAACCAATACGTTCCGCAGTGAGCCCTCTTCCACATGATTTGGGAGCGCAACAGCGCTGCACCAGTTTTAGTGCTTCCATGCTCCCCCATCCAAAGGATGCAGTCTTCTCTTTAACGGGTAAGCTTCTTTCCAATCCCCAGGGACAGCTTCCCCCTTGAAAATGGGTGGAGGACTTCTCTTTCCTCTGGAGCAGTATTTGTACCATCTGGCTGGCTGGCTGGGGAATTCTGGGAGTTGAAGCCCACACCTCTTAAGGTTAACCAGGTTGAGAAACACTGCTCTGGAGAATTTGCCCATTCGATTCTTGGCAGAATTTGGAGATGCCATTTCAGTCCTGCACCTGCCCACCGGCTTGGGGCACCTCAAGCCAACTCTCTAAACACAGCAAAGGGAAGGAAAAATCCTTCTTCTCGTGTGGAGAGCATTGACTTAGAGATGGGGAGCACTGCTCCGGTCAGCCTGAAGCCCCTGCTGGAGGAGGTCTGGAGCATTTCCGTGGGACAGTTGCGCTCTCTGCAGCCCCGGTCAGCCCACGCCCGGAATACGGCGTCCACGTCTGGTCACCACAGTACGAAAAGGATGGTGAGGGGTGGAAAGCGTGCAGAGCAGCGGGACAAGGACGGTGAGGGGCTTGGAGGC